AGTACACAATCTGGTTGGCATCCACTGAATGGTCCAATAATCAATACCTAAAGGAGGGCCATACCCATGCATTGCATCTCTCATAGGACAGAATCATTCTTGGAAGCTCCATCTCAAGCCTTCTTAACTAAACACCAAAACTCCTGAACCCACCACCAATCCCCCAAACAAAACAAAACCTTCCAGCTTTCATGCTGCTCAGCTGGCACCAGCCTTTAGCTAGGCCACCCCTCCTTCAGTGCCCCCATCTCTAGCTCCCTCATTGATCACAAGCATTTTGCTACCCTATTTAATAATAGCTATATAGAACCCTCCTAAACCCCTATATATACACCCCAAGTTCAAAGGTTTTAGTCACAAAAAGTAGTAGTCTCATATTTGTGACAAAGTCCCATTAACAAAATGGCTTTTTCTCATATTGGAGTCCTAGTGTTTTTAAGCTCATGCATGGTTGCATATGGTGGCAATTTCTACCAAGATTTTGATCTTACATGGGGTGGTAATAAAGCAAAGATTTTCAATAGAGGGCAGCTGCTTTCCTTGTCTTTGGACAGGGAATCTGGCTCTGGTTTCCAATCCAAGAGAGAGTATCTGTTTGGAAGAATTGATATGCAGCTTAAACTTGTTGCTGGCAACTCTGCTGGCACTGTTACTGCATACTACGTACGTATTAACTTAACTGTTATTAAGTTAGTACTGCATCATTTTCTTCAACCACTCTGCTAAACAGTGTTTTTCTTGAAATGATATTCTTATTTTACTCAAAAAAAGGAAAAAAAAAATGCTACCACATATTACTAAAAAGCCTTTTCTATCACCCTTTTTTCGTTCTCCATTCTCCAATAAGGGTTACTAGGCCAGTCCCTCAGCAGAATGGCCAAGATAGTTAAATTTTGAATCCTTCTCCAGTTCTTTGGTATTATTTCATCACAGAAGTAACAGACTTAAAGACTGGGATTTTCAACTAACATCTTTCTTTAATCATAGTTCCATTAGATAGTTACACAGAGTATACAGTACTCTGCTATAAATCATGTTTTCTCAGTAAGTCAGTAACAAATTGGCATTAAGTTGCCTCTGAAGCCACGCTCATATTTCTTCACAGTTATCCATGAAGTTCATTATGCAATAATATGCGATTAATCCTTATTTCTTTTCCACTTATGCACAACAATCATTTGGTTCTTGTGCAGTTATCTTCTCAAGGACCAACACATGACGAAATTGACTTTGAATTCCTGGGGAATGTCACTGGTCAGCCTTACATCCTCCATACTAACGTCTACGCTCAAGGAAAGGGAGGCAGGGAACAACAATTTTATCTCTGGTTTGATCCGACAAAGAACTTCCACACTTACTCAATGGCCTGGACTCGTGACCACATTATGTAAGCAAAAGGCTCAATTTATGTTTCCCAATCCATGATTCGATAAGAAAAATTTTAGTTAATAATATTCTAAACTTTCTCCTGCAGATTCTTGGTAGATAACACTCCTATCAGACAGTTCAAGAATGCTGAATCACTTGGCGTTCCATACCCAAAAAACCAACCTATGAGGATTTACTCTAGCCTCTGGAATGCTGATGATTGGGCTACAAGAGGTGGACTAGTGAAAACTGACTGGACACAGGCACCTTTTACTGCATACTACAGGAATTTCAATGCTCAGACCGCTACTGTTGGTAAGCTGTCCAATGGGGCATGGCAGAAACAGGAACTTGATGCCTACAGCAGAAGAAGATTGAGATGGGTTCAGAAGAATTTTATGATATACAATTATTGCACTGATTATAAGCGGTTCCCTCAAGGATTTCCTCCTGAATGCAGACTATGAAGATTTCACTAGTTGATCATGTCTTGAAACTGAAACTTTGGAGATGGTTTTGAACAATTGTTACTGATATGAATTTCATTTGTTTATTCCTGTTTTCCTTCATTTTGTTGTACCATGTTGAATAAATAAAATTTTCTATGCTTCTTTGAAAATTTATAGCTTCTTTAATCATACAAATACAATGAAATTTGAAGCCACTTTATTGGTATTGTTTATCCAACTAGTCATGCGTACTTTGAACTCCAATATCACTTCAATCCAGAACATGACATGTATCAGTTCTGGAGAACTGGCCATGCATGACTCAGCACTGTATTGAGAAAATTCCAGATTGTGCTCAACTATCTATCAGACTTGAATTGGGGTGGAATTGGAATTGTGACTTAATTTGAACAGGATACAATTCGAATTCGAATTTTGCTGTAGATCCAAACACAATTCTCATGACGTTTGATATCCAAGATTTTTCCTCGCACCGACAGCCCATAGACAATTTCTTGCATGCTTGGACCATTTTGATGGATAGAAAGTACCATTTCACACTTCCTGTCGCTAGTCCTTTACCTTGTTTATACAGAAATGTTTGTGGTCTGTGCAATTGTCTGTCTCAATTGAGATGTATGCATGAAAACAAAAGATTGTACACACGAAGACAACAAATATAGACACTAAAGTAAAGATGTAGGCACGAATACAACAAATATAGACACTAAAGTAACAAAATGTACAAAAACTACTTTTTCCATTCATTGAAACTTGTGCATAACAATGAACCTCATCCATCAATTCCCAGATCAACCCCATCTGGATCACTAATTGTATGGTGCAATTGCTCTAGCAATTCAAATAGTCGAGTCCCCACTGAATAGTGTGAGCTGGATTAGCCAGGAGCACTGGTTTGCAGGGTGTTGTGCTCCTGGATGTATAGTACCCAATCAATTCATGCCTTACACCAAAATATATATACATATATATACTGGGGCGTGTGCATTTGTACAGGAGGATCTGTATTAGTAGTAGTAGTTTGTCCATTTGGCAACAGTGATGCGTCTTCAATTATGCTTCAGTGTGGTCAATTTCAGTTACATGCATTGCCTGCTGTATCCTAGATCATCTGACAGTGACTTGAACCCCTCAGTGATCCTGACTGAATCTCAATAACATGCCATCCAAAAGTACAATTTATTAGTGTCTTCTGAAGAATAAATATGATCAACAACAGATACAGGGCATGTGTGTAAAACAAATACACTATATTAAGGAACTTCTGCTAATTTTATTTGGGACAATTTCAGAAACCTCCCTTGAGGTTTTTTACTAACGTTTTAAAAATTACATTTACCTCCCTTAATTTGATACTTTGGTAACCAAACTTTAAAATAGAGTAAAAAATTTAATGAATACCCTAAAATGCTCTTATCTTACAAAGTTCAATTTGTTCTTCTGAACAAGAAGTGTGTCAATTTTGCCAATATTTGTTGTTTGATAATCAATTATAACAATAAATCTTTTTCTATAATAGGGTATTTTTCATAGTGCTTTATTGGAAATATAAATTCATTTTAAAATAGAGAAAAAAGTGCTAATTTGTTTCTTTTAAAGTTTATGGACTTCTTTTTAATAAAAGTTTATGGACTAGTTTGTTGATGGAACTATCATAATTTAATGGTGATTTTGGGCTATTTGTTTTTAATTATTGTTGACTTATCCTTGATTTTGATACAAAAAAAAAGAGTTACAAAAAAATTGGCTGATATTAAAAGTTATCAAAATATATTACTAGTTTAATGTTTAATTTGGATAGATATTCGGAACAACATTGATAGCTCTTCTATACTTCTAATGAAATATAAGAGAAATGAATAAGAATGAAAAATGTAAAAAAATTATAAAATCCATCCTTTGCATAGACATAGTAACAAGAGAGTTTTATTAAAAATACTAAGGTTAGTATTGTCATTTTAAATGGGCAAGGGATGTAGGTGTAATTTTTAAAATCTTAGGGGAGCCAAGTGCAATTATTAGAAACCTCAGGAGAGGTTTCTGCAATTATCCCATTTTATTTCTGAAGCAGAGGAGAAAATTCTCACTTGCAAGTTGCAACCATCCTAGTTCTGTTTCCTTACTTGCCTAGCTTCTAATCCTGAACAGGTAATTCATATTGACTTTCTTGTACGCAGTCATTCAGTAAAAACCTGTCAAAGGAAAGAGTAGCTCTAGTGACAAGTAATCAGTGTTTATAAGGTATGTTAGGATTGAGAATTTATAGGCTTATGTGTGTGTGTGTGTGTGTGTAAATCCTACTGTGAATTTTTTTTTTTCATCATTCATCAAGGAAGGAATCAAAGGAAGTGTTCACTAATGCTAGCAACTCAAACTTGTTCATAAAAGAAACATGAAACTAGAAAGAAAAGCAAAATACTACAGGGGCATCACAGCCACTATCCTGAATTAAATGCATGTTTATACTGACTGAAGCAGAATGTTAATCAGCTGGAAAATTCGAACTTTCAATCTCAGAAAAGTTTTATATTTCAACTATCATAGTCTCCAAGACATAAGTGGCATAGTTTATTAAGACAGGCAGGCATAAATAGAATCTGACCATTATAGTCACAAATGAGAGTTTTGTCAAATTTCCAGCAACATTTCTCAACAGGTCACAGGTGCTCTGCCTGAAACCAAAGTTGCGACTAAAAGTCATATATTGCCACAAGATGCATCAAACTATGATGCTTTTGCAACCACAAGGCAGCTTACAAGATACAAGTTTACAGAACTAACTTTTGGAAGCACTTTGTACTTTGTTCTCCCTCTAGTGCTTAGGGTATTATTGGAAGCTCTTAGCATGGAGCAACAGATTTTTCTTCCATTTTCAGTGAAGAAGGTCAATGCTCTTGGTTGGCTGCACGCAAATGCTGGTTGATTGTAACATGTAAATAAGTCAGTTGCAAACAAGATATATAACCAAAAAAAAAAAGATTAGAGAAGCATTTTGAAACATTTGTATTTCTCCTGTTGTTCTGTTTTTCAGAGCTTTTTTCTAATCATCATGTACATTCTCCTAATGGAAAAGCAATAAATTTGCTGAAATAAATACACAAGGAACTAGGAAAACATACAACTGTTTATCCACTTCTAGCTAGTAAAAAAATCTTCTGATGGCTACCCCAAGGTGACATCTAGCTCCTCGTTTCCCATTTCTATCTGCTTTTCCCTAATTACTCCGAGTGAGCTCCTAGAAGAGTGACTGCAACCTCGCAATTCAACCCTCTGCAATGTTGGTATATCTCCTAAACAAGGGGGAATCTCCACAAGTTTTTTGCAATTTACCAGCACTAATGTCTTGAGGCTGGGAAGATGATCTTCAAAAGCATTCCAATGTAATAATTGCAACCGCTCTAATTTCAAGAAACTGAGATTAAGAAATTCTCCTTCATTCATGTCCCATGTTGTCCCCTCGAATGCATCATCCAACAATTTGAGTACTTGAAGATTGGGTAGGTTCCCAATGCTTGAAATTTCAGTCCAGGGCAAGCAAAAACCTGACAATGTCAATTTTTTAACATTCGCAGGAAAGCTGAACTTACAAGATTGAACCTTATGAAGTGCCTTTCCCCTGTAGGCCACCTTCAATGATTCAAGTTGGGTGAGGAAGTCCAAATTTGGGAACTGGATGCAGTTGGAAGTGTAATCCCAAGAATACAAAAACCTGCAACTTAGCTTTCGAAGATTGCACAGGCCTCTCATGATCTGCTCAGTATCTTCTCCAAATGCTAAATCTGGCGTCGAAAGGCTTTGTAAGCTATGAAACTTGAAGGGCTTCTCTAGAAATTCTTGACTGCAAGGAGGCAAGGTATAAGAGCCCCTTATCAGGAAATGCCTCAATTTCACCAGGTTCCAAACAGTCGTTGGTACATCAATCTTGTGATTTTTCCCCAACATAAGAGTTTCCAGGTTCCGGAGGTTGCCAATTTCTGGTGGGATGCTCTTTCTTCTGTAGTGACTGAGTGACAAGAACCTTAGATTAACCAACTCAAATATGTTAGGACAATAGTCGATATCGATGGCCCAAATATCTAACACTCTAAGGAGCTTGAAATTGTCAAAGCTCAATGAAACCTTGCGTAATATACTCCCACGATATACTATAGAGCGGGTACGTGGACAAGGATTTACTCCCATGGCCACATGCTTTTGGTACACATGACAGGCAGGGAGAGGGAGTCCAAAATATAACTGGATTTGAGTTATTCCTGGCAAATGTGCTGGATTCAAAGAACTTCTGGGAAAATAGTCTGATCCAGAATTGATAGACCGACGATATGGCTCATAAAATGAATCACCAACCGAAGATAATTGTTCAAATCTGTTGGTTGTTAGCAAAAAGGACTCTTCTTTAGCTTTTGCCAAGGCAAAATCATGCAAGAGATCATGAACACGGCTTGCTTTAACTCCACCTCGAGATCCTTTTTTGGAGATTATTACTAAGCTCCTAGCAATTAGATCATTCAAATACTTCTGAGCTGCACCCTCTAAGCTTCCTTTATCATCCTTTTGCAGTTCAACAAATCCTTCTGCAATCCATAACCGTATCAACTTACTTGTCGGGACTTCTATATCCTCACAAAATGTTCCAAAATAAAGAAAGCATGGCTTCAAATGATTTGGTAAGTTGTCATAACTGAGTTCTAGCATGCCCAAGCACTGACCATTTTGGTCTTCAAGAAGGTGAGCATTCAAACCATTTGCAATTTGTTTCCAGGATTCCTTCTTTCTGTCCTTTGTCCCAAGTAGTCCAGCTATCAAATCCACAGCAATTGGTAGGCCTTTGCAATTTGCTGCAATTTGCTGTCCAATTCCAAAAAGTTCTTGGGGGCAACTTTCTTGTTTAAATAGCTTGACTTGCAAGAGCTCCCAACTACTAAGATCTGATATTGGATTCAGAAAAATGGTGATACTATTGGTTGTGATTTGTGAAGTAATGTTATGAAATCGACTTGTGAATACAATTCTACTCCCATTGTTATCATCTGGGAAAGAAGCCTTCATATCATTCCACGGCCAAATATCCCACAAATCATCAACAAATATAAGATAACGTTTGCCTTTTAGACTTTGATATAATTTCAGAGCCAGCCTGTCGTCAGTCATTCCAAGTACCTTGTAACTTACTTTACTAACTTGCTGCAGAACTTCAAGCAACAATCTTCTCTTCTGATAGACCTGAGTTACACAACACCTTGCACGGACATGAAAGTGCAGAAGAACGGAAGGATTTTCAAATATTGAACGAACTAGTGTTGTCTTACCTATTCCAGGCATCCCCACAACTGAGAGAATCTGCAATGGCATTATACCATTGGTGAGTTGCTCCGTTATCTTTTTTGCTTCATCCTCAAAAAGTTCCACGAAATCACCAGGCTTGTTTGCTTCATTTCCGGCCCCATAAATGGAACGTGACAATACTTGAAACTCTCCTGAATTAGCTTGTGAAGAAATACCGGCAACATTGGAGGAAAATTTCAGGGCTGCAACGTGATTCATTGTTCTGTCTTTGATATCACTGACCTCTCTGCTTATAATCTTAATATCTTCAATGGCATAAAATAGCCCCAACTTATGATACCAAAGAGGTTGATCTTTGATGAGGAACGAATCGACAACATAATCTATATGGTACACAACATCTTTGAAACGTGTCCAGGGATCTTTCAGATCTTGATGTTCTCTTGGATGCTTAGCAATTTCAATAAAATCTCCCCTCATAGACAATATGTGATCATGAACCATCTCAATTTGATGCCACAATAGAGCAATGAAGTCATCTTTAGAGTGTAGCAGCTGCTTCACATTCTGAATCACAAAATCCACAAAGCCTAATTCGTTTGTTGTGGGGAACTTGGTCCTCTGGGATTTTGGCAATATGCTGTCATAGATATCTCTAGCTTCTTGCTTGATAACCTTGAACTCTTCAAGCAAAACACGAGCATCAAGGTCCAGTTGTCTAACAGTGTCCTCAGCAACATCATTGTCAATGAAAGAGGGAATAACACATGCCGCCCTGCCCATAACATGTTTGATTTGCAGAAACAGATGCTTCAATTTTGGATGAGTATCAGTGTACTCTTGAGCTGAAGTATCCATGAGATAATCCCTTAGGATTTTAAACTCATCCTCGAGAGCATTGATCCGCTGCATCACACAAGTTTCTACACTTACACTAACGTGCAATATCTCCTTAATTTTGCCTAGAGATTCAAGATAAAGAATTTCATTCAATGAAAAATCACTCTTTTGTAGAGAACTCGAAGCTTTCCAGGCTCTGAGATAAACCTTTCTAACATCTGGCAGAATAACTTCAATCCTATGCTGTAGATAAGAAAGTTGAAGCTTCACCTCATTCAGCATGCGTTCATCCATCTTATTGTTGTCCAAGCACAGGTACATAAGACATCCCGTGCTATCAGCTGCAGCTTCAGAATGAATCAGAACATCCCTTAACCTGTCATCATGCTCCCTTGGCAAGTATTTTTTAGTTACTCTTAGTAAATATCCCAGATACCTCAGATTCTCTTCAAGGGCTTCAGTTTCCTTCTTCAGATTGGCAATTGATTGAGCTTTATATTTCAGCAGATCCTTCAGATAGCCTAAAGTAGTGTCAATAAGTCCCACAACAGCATCAGTTGTTGAGCTAATGGATCTTGTTGACTGCGCAACCAAAGCATAAACTTCTTGAATGAGTGGCTTTATTGGATCAAGCTTTTCTAGTGCACTTGAGATTGAACAAAGCAAGTTATCTGGTATCAAATTCAACGAGAGAGGTTGAAGTTCTTGATCTGCACTGAGGACCACATCTTCAACTTGCCTTAGGATGGCTTTCAAGCCATTGTTGTTGATGTACCACTTTCCTGTGCAGGTGAAAAAAGCTTTGAGAAATCTTGCTTTCAATTTGAGGGTATGGACTTGAACCTTGACTGGAGCTTCCAAATCCCAGTTAATCTCAACCCACTCCAGAAACCTTAAGGTGTTGTCAAAGCTACAAGGATCTATAGCAATCTCCATAAGTTTCTATCCCTCTTTTGAATAGGAAAACAGCCTAAAATGCTTTGCTTCACAGCTTAAACTACGAACCTTTAGCTTTCACACACTGTTTTCCTCTGAAATTCTTAGTCAACGGAAAAGGATCAAGAAGGAAAGAGTGAAAGAAGCTTTTTCTTTTCGCTTTTGTTCAAGTAGCGAAAAGTCAAAGAAGCCTCACTCCTCATTATGAACTATATATACCACTAAATAATTGTTTCGCGGTTCGCTTATATTGAGTCTCACATATGGTTCTTGTTTCCAACAAAAGCTTTTGATTGTTTGCCTTTCAAAGATTATTCATTTTCTACAAAATTCGAAATTTCTCTACTAACCCCCTCCTGAGTTCTCTCTTCATTTCCTTTAACAAGTGACAACTTTCTTCCATGTATTTTGGCCTTTGTGATTCACTTTCTCTTAAACATCTTACTATCGTTTAATTGAACTATGTATGAACAGTTGCATATTTTAATTTGCAACTAAAAGTGGGACAGGTTAGGTTGGTTTTAGTTCAATCATTGATGACAAATTTTACTAAAAGACCAATTGTTTGCTTGTTTGATCAATTTAACTGATCAGTAAAATGAGGAAGGAAGCAGGGGAGAGTTAGCCAGGCAGGGCAACTGCAATTTGTTAATCACAGAAATGAAACTAGAAGACAACAAGCAAATAATTTAAGCAAATCTACAGCGCATCTCCTTAGAAATTGCATGCTTTCACGAACTGAAGCAGAGATGTTAATTAACAGAAAGAAATCTTGATATGCTTATGAAGTTTTTTGAACTTAAGATTGTCAAAATTCTTAACCAAAAGCCAGCCATAATCTTTTCTAAATAGAGAGGCAAAAAAAAAAAAAAAAAATTTACCCTGTACATACAAATGTATAAAAAGTATGCTGCACCTCGCCTTACCATCATTTAACACTAAAAATCCTGTGTCCAACGCATAATTGCTGAAACAAGTTAAGGTGTGTAACTACAATAAGACCTGTCTCTGCAGCCAAAGCTGCCACGGAATGCTAAGATACTAACAGTCTGCCAGAAGATGCATCACTCTATCTTGCTTCAGCATTCTGCAGGCAGCTAGCATGTATATGAACTTTTGAGCTTCTAAAATCACTCTCTTTTTGCTCTCCATTTGGGTGATTAGGGTCTTGCTGAAAGGTCCCTGCTTGGAATAGACCTTTCTTCAATACGTCTGGAAAATGTCACCCCCGGGGGCTGCAGGGGCTGGGACATCACAGCACGTAAGAAAGTATTCAGTAATAAATGATTATACAAGTTGAGTAAATAAAGAAGCATTAGCAAACAGTAATTGCCACTTACTGTGATTCTGCAGTGCACATTCAGATCATCAATCATTTGGCCAAGGCGTTGTTTGGCCTGTTGTTCTGTTTTCAATGCTTTTTGACACGCTTCTCTCACCAGAAGCTGAAACCATGAATTATAAAAACGATCAGATGCTTGGACATCTACAGCTTTTCCCAATATAAAATGGGGACAAGTTCATTTTGTCATATTAGAGAGAAAAGAGTCAAGACAGTGCATAACATAATAGTTAGACTTACACAACCATATCAGCATTGGAGCTCAATGGTGCTCATCAATGCATAAAACATAGACTGATACTGATTGAAACTCTTTTCCTGATTTTCTTGAAAAGTCAAAGTAGTTCAAGTATTGATACTAATTTAAAGCATAAAAGCAACATGCATGATTTATGTTTCAGATTTAGTGTCAGATGGCTGGTAAGTAGTCACACTGGTGGTGAACCCAACAAAGAGAAGATCATACTGAATGCATGTTTAAAGTACAGATCCAGTGTTAAACATCTTCACTGGAAGTCAAGTAAATCCACCAGATTGTAACTTGAGAAGTACAAGAATTCATGTTTTTAGCTATATAAACCCTATGTCAGGAAATATTAGATGTATGTTCCAACAGTGAATACCAGGTAAGTTTACATGATCCGTATAGCATGAAGTCTCAACTTTCTTTATGGATCTCATATGATTAAGTATGATCAGGACATATTTTTTAGAGCATATTTTAACACACGACTCCCCACTGTTAGATTGAGGAGCATCTGAAATAAATATTCACGGATCCACCTGAGCAAACATTGTCTTCTAAGGGTGCTTACTGCATGGGACAATCACTGAATTTTACATGAAGATGAAAAAGAGTTACGAGCAAAAGACAAGCATCTGAGCATAGAACTAGGTTTAATTTTAGAAGATGGGAAAAGATGCCCTTGTTGGATAGAGTTCAGCAACCATGCACCCTAATAACTGCAAAAGCAGGACGATGCAGTAGAAGATGCTCCTTTATGCAAAATGGTCCTGATGACAACCTTGTCAGGTCTACTAGGTTTGTGTATCAGTAATTCAAAGTGAGTTCCTTGGGCAAATTCAACTAGTAGGGCATCAAACTGGCAATGATAAAAAGTTAAAATAATCTAGTGAGAAATCTAGCTGCAGACTTGCAGATTATTTAAAAACTAGCATGTTGAGAAATTATGAAAAGAATCACTACACTTCAGCTCCAAATTTTCTCAGATTAAGTTAAAGCTATGAGTACAGAATTGCTTTCAATCTAAACACCAAGACAGCATATTAGACAAGGTTCTGAGCAATCTGCATGTTCCTCACCCGTCATGAAAGATAAGACAAAGGACTTTGTAATGAAAGAGCATTGGATTTCAGCTGGACACAGTGTTATGCATTTCCCTTGAATGAGGAGGCGAAAGAGAACAAGATTGAGTCGGGCAACTCTTTCAGTACAGAAAGCCAAAGATCCAAAAGAATGCACCAAAGATGATGCAAACAGTTAGGAGATCGACTCTGACTAGCACAAAGACTAAACAAGAAGGGCAAAACTTGCATGAGAGGTATATTATTAATATGTGCGGTTATACCTTATTGAAGGGGAAGGTACCAAGTTTGCTGCCATCAACTGCAGATGTTTCCAACAAATTTCGAAGCTCAGCTAATTCGTCAATCAAACCCAGAGCTACTTCTTCAGCATCAAGCATTTGATTTCTTGAGAATTCAAAAGCTCTTTTGGCATGCAGGCGAAAGGCAGCACAGTTCAGACAATTGCACAGCCCTCTGCATCCTCTTGGATTTCTCTTTAATATTCCTTTTATAGAACTATCAGTTCCTTGAAAGGAAAAAACTCCAACTCCTGATGAGTATTGGTCCAAAGAGAGAGATCTGATATTGGCAGCTTTGCTGTTGTTATTATCCAGGCCCTCAACCAGGCTGTTTTTTCCAATATCAACTTGTTCATGCTGCGAGAACTCCAGTAGGGATCCTTTAGGCAAAAAGTCATCCTTAATGGCGGAGCATGATGTCTCTGTTAAACAGTTAGTTTCACCATCACAAACTCTGAAATCAGCTGTAGGGAGTACTACTTCCAAATCTCTGGGATTATTCAATTGACCATGTGTACAAGTTGAAGAACTTTCCACCTGCAAACAATTCAGCATATCACGTTGAGAGATATTCTCAGAAGATGCAGGGTTAGACTTCCCATTAGAACTGCGGGAACTGGAGAAGGGAGTTGACAAATCTAGGCAGACGTCATCAGATGAACCATCAATGGAATGGACCTTGACAGCAATTGGACAACATGGTTCATCATTTTTAGCTTCTTTCTCCTGGAATATGTCAACTTCATTCTTATTCAAGAAGGCATCCTTATTTGAAGAAGCCAATAGTGGTGAACGCTGATCATTCTCCATCTTCCGTATATTAGGAGATTGATCAATGTTGGTAGAACCTACAAGAAGAAATTGGTATAATAAAGATTAGTTTGTGAAAGACTCTGCATGCTGATTTGAGATTTAGTTGCTCTGAACAAGAGAAAAGAAAAGAGATATCATTGATTTACTGTTGGCAACATCCATCAGAAAGGGCAATAATCTTCTGTAGCTGAAGGAGCTTGAAGTTTTGAATATTTTCGACCGAGAACATGGATTAAGAATCTGTGCAGTGTCAAGACATCTTAATTAGCAAATTCAACCACTTCGAGAATCTCAGATCATATATCTGGAACATTGCAAGGTGCTAAAATATTGATCTTCAACTTCCAATTACATTAAGCATATGAACCAAGAACGGAGAAACTGCTTACCATTTTAGTCATTGAAATGGTGTTATTTCTTCTAGGACTCCCATGCAAATTCTCATGCAAGAATGTTTGATTGCTGCACATACTTCCATTTGCTGGATGCCCAAGGATGTGATTCCCAGTCTTCAAATTGTTAATTTCTCCATTTGCCCTATCATCATGATCATGAATCTCGCTCAAAATGGTGGCATCAGGTGGTGTTGTCTGTACACAATCTTCGATCGATTTATCACCTCTAGCTAAACCATTTTCATTAGCAATCCCCTCCACAAATGAGCTGACATTTTCTTCAGTTTGAAGCAACTTCTTGTTGGGATCATTCGGATCCTGCTCCCTTACATGAAGGTTGTTTTTGACATTCTCAATATCTCTTTTCTCCAACAATTTATTATCATCAATATGTTGACCAACATCCTTGGTTTTAGCATTCTCAGTATCCATCAGAGCTGATGACACAGTATAATCTACATTACTCAGGTTTTGAACTTGGCAAGAAAAATCTTTGTCAACAATTTCAATTCTTGAAGTACCTATAAACAAAATACAGAGAATGTTAACAATGATGTCTATCAATTCTTTTTTTTTTTTTCCACTAATTCTACATTCGATCCATATCATCTACTACATAACCAAGAAAAAGAAACCTCTCTTCTGATACATTTGCAACTACTTGTAAGGACTGCTCAAAGGGGGAAGAACTTAACCAGAATCATCCTTCGCCATGTCCATTAGAAATGGTAGCAATCTTCTATAGCTGAAAGAGCTTGGAGACTTGAAAACCTTCCTTCGAGACAAGGAATTGAGTATCTATACAAGAAATTCCACATCAAATTCTACCATTAGCCCAGAAAA